GCATTTTGTATGAGTACAATTGACCCAGTTCTTCCTATGCCAGCGGAGCAGTGAACAATAATTGGTGCACTGCAATGACCGTTTTCTCATTGAGTTTTCATCCAAGCAACCTGACGATGCTTACGTTGTACATTGAACTTTTGCCAAAAGGCATACGGGAGCTAAATCGGCTTCCGGAACTCCTCGATCAGGCCAATTTTGCCAGTGATAATGAATACAGTAGTGCGGTGACTCTCCAGGGACTTTCACCTCCAAGAAACTCACTCGTATGCGCACATTCGTTTCCATTGGAAATTGAAACTAAAACAATGGTTCATTGTGGAGAAAGTACAGAGTGTACCTCTAAAATATTCAAGATAATATGTGCCTGTTTCGTCAAAAATTATTGCAAGATCTAAGCCTGACGTAATAAAGTTAAACATTTTCGATCCATCATTTGTACTTTTTTATTATGAAGCTAACATTACTACTACACCATCTCCATATCATTCTGCGCGGTGCTTCAAAAATCTGGACTTAATAATAAATGGTGATCAACCGTCAAATTAGCAAAGCCTTCAAAGAATTGTCTCCAATCATCTCGTCGCACTTGTGCATTACAACATTGTAGTACATTTACATGGCATGCAGCTGCTGGCCAGCTGATAAAAAGCCTTATTGCAGACAAATCACTTAAGTGTGCAAAAGGACCACAATCTTGCAAACTATTTATTACCATTACTATCACATTACATATTACCATTAACTCGGTGCTTGGTCAAAATCAGTCTATGTGAATGCCCCACCACTGCTGCACTAAGCGTAACTTTGAAAATAATTGAAAGTTGAAATCTTCAAAGAGCTGTTTAATGTTTAACCTCTGCTCCTTTAACTGTTGATTCTCGGAATGTTTTTATATGCAGAAAAACACGCGAGTGCTACTCTAATCCTCATCTCTGACTAGAGGTGAAAAACATGTTGTAATTTAAATTGCTTTCATACATACCTCTTCTTGCTTTTTCAAGGTCACAGTTACTCCACTAAATTTTAAGGTTTTAATATCGAACGTTAGCGGTACGTATTCTGCGCATTTTTTTGAACCCTGCAACTTAGCTTTAAATTTCAGTAGCTATAAAAGTTTAGCAAATGAGACGCACCTGTTCCACAAAGTTGCATAGCATGATTATGGCTATAGACTTCTCTTGGACAACCATATACCAGAAATCAGCGCATGTGTTTGGTAGTGGGGCCTGAAAGCATAAACATTATTAACTTTGCTCTTCTTCTATTTTATCATTAAAGTACCTGAGTACAAATGAATCGCTTCGGAGCAACCGGTGTCGAGATGTAGTTGGCATGAATGTACGAAACTGGTCCAAGATGAAGCACGACTCGTTGGAAATCGAGACAACCAACATCCTAGGTGGACCTTGTGTATATGTGAAAATACTTGAACCCAATCAGATGCTTGCATACCTTGTATCTATTTCTGCCTTGGGGAATTTGCGCTACAAATTCTTTCATCAGACTGAAATCATTACCGCGTTTCATCATTCTGAACTCGCTGATAAGTCCAGAAACCCCGTTTCTCAAAGTGTGCTCAACGAATACTTTCACCTAAATAGTACATAATGTTATCGATTCTTTCGAATTCTCCTTCACATATCCTACTCTCATACTTACCTGAGCACGCCTAGCTGCCCTTGATGTCGACGAGATTTGTAACTGCATTGGCTCATTATATGCTCTAAAATAGGACAGTATTTGGTACAACTCAAACTTATATGACTATCAAAACGAAGAAAAATTACCTCATGCCACCATCTTCTTCCCTAAAAAAGATTCGTTATGGTTATGTAAGAGAAATACATAGATTGTTTACAAAGTCTACATTACTACGTAAATGATTTGCGAAAGTAGCTTTTATAGCTATTAACTTCCGAAAACAGCAATTTCTCAACATGCTTATTTTTGTTCCAGCGCAAGGTCGCACTGTTGCAGGAGAGCATCGTCCACAGGCGAGTGATTTGCATCACGGTTTTTCAGCAAATCTTTATGGTGCCTTGAAGAAATTTCGTCTAACGTAATAAAAGTTTGCGCGAAAGGAGTACGCTTCAAGGTTTACGGGCCTTTGCCATTGTTGTGCGATGTGAATAAGACCATGGTTCAGTTTCGAGAATAGAAGTACCTTAAGTTCTTCTCGATCATGCCAAGCGTTCAATCTCGTTCTCAAGCACCTTGAGCGTAATGTACGAAGTCTAATTTATACGCTTAGATACTGCTTGATTAACGGAACATACGTTGAATTGACATCAGGACTTCGGTGAATACTGTTTCTCAAAATAATTTAAGCGGTAACTGGAACTGCTTATCCATTTATTTATTTATTTCCAGGGGAATACAAAAGCAATGAAGGATAAGGATTTGACTGTTAACATTGTTTTAGGAGTCAGCTATTCTTTCAGTGAACCACCCAACTGTCCACACTTTAACTTAATTCACTTTAACTCTCCCAGATTAGAACCCGGCATGCTGAGCGATCGCTGTGGTCTCCTGCGCTACGTATTCATTTGCTTCCTAGGGCCTTGATAAGTTTTACCGCCGTAAAGGGCAAAAAAGTACTGACTCCCAGAAAGCGAAGCTTCACAATTTTTACCAACGAAGCAGTCACTCAATACTTCAAAAATTGTTAATACGTTAAAGATTCAAAGATGTTATCGAATTGACCCCATCAAGCAGAAGCAACTGTCTGCAACACGATCTTCGTGCCCTTTTTGTCTGCTGATCAAATCAACTATGAAGAACTATAATTTTTTTGTAAGAAAGGCAGAATTTCTGTCGTTAAGAAAATTGACAGATTTTTTTCCAAATGAAAAATTGCGTCGATGGCGTTGCTATGCTCTTTCCTATCGCCGTTTTCTGCAGTCGTTCATAACCTAACCTACTGAACTGAGCTCAACGGTAACTACTTTGTAAAACGAGTCGATATTTCTCAGGTCACAGCAGACAAACTGCGAAAGAGATACCGTTTGCGCCAGGTCCCTTTACATTGCACACACAGCACAAAACTCTCAATTGACAACACGAAAAGGCACCGCAAGACGACCAAGAAATGAAGCTTAAAAATATCTACTAATATTCACACGAATGTGTGTACTCAGTTCTCATCACTTCCTGGGGATGAGCATGTCCAAACTCTCGTCATTAAAGGTTATTTTACGCCAATTAACCGAAAAGGTTCCTTTCTCGTCATCAAATGACTGAAGCCTAGTGCAGCTTTCTGTCGACATAAAATGATTCAAAACCTGGTACAGACAATTATCATTCTCCACTGCACTGCAGTGCATCAACCGCTTACCCGGATTCCTAACTTTTTGCAGTCAATTATTGCATGCCCATAAAGCTCAGTGCCAAATTTCCGGAAGGCCAACAAGATTTTATTTTTGGAAGGAAAAAGAAAGGATTCTCTGTCCTCTCTAATTCTCAACTCAGCAAAGATTCGCATGCTCTGTAAGAAAGCGGAAACTCGTTCTTTGAGCGATTCGTTTAGACCCGCTTCGGGAGGGGCGATGCAGCCAGCACATTTAGATGCGCAGCAAGAAGCTTTAGAGTTGTCTGTCGATGTGTGGAAACTTCAAATAAATCTCACGGTATCTTCTGATTTACGTTCCCGACTGCAAAAAATATGGGAGACCAGAGTTTTGCATTTTCCATAGTTGCGTTCTTTT